TGTTCTGGTGTTCTGATGTTCTGATGCTCTGGTGTTCTGATGTTCTGGTGTTCTGATGTTCTGATGCTCTGGTGTTCTGATGTTCTGGTGTTCTGAAGTTCTGATGTTCTGGTGTTCTGATGTTCTGATGCTCTGATGTTCTGGTGTTCTGGTGTTCTGGTGTTCTGATGCTCTGATGTTCTGATGTTCTGATGTTCTGATGCTCTGATGTTCTGATGTTCTGATGCTCTGATGTTCTGATGCTCTGATGTTCTGATGTTCTGATGCTCGTCACAACACTCACCTGTGGTCACAGGTCGGGAAGAACAGGTCTAAGATCTTCACGATGAACGTAGATCCAGCCACGCCGATCACAACCACCCACATGACCAGGAAGAAGAGGGGCAGTGACTCGGAGCAGAAGCTCCTCAGACGCTCCCTGACTTGCTCCACCCACTGACACACAGCCTGAGGAGAGCAGAGAACACCTGTCAGCCTGCTGCAGGTAACAGTGGGGTCAGGGAGAGCACTACTGAATCTGACATATGATAAGTTCCCAGAATCACAGGTGATGTTTAGGAAATACTGAAGTGTGGTTCTGTGTAAAAGTGATGAACAATAAACATCTTCCCTGTAGAGGATATGTCCTCCTCTAGTTTAGAGAAATAATATTTAATGAGACAGACTGATGAGCTAACAGCTGCTCTGAACCTGGCTTATTATACTTCACTAAAACTAACTAAATAACAAAAATTGAAATGGAAAAAACATTTTAGTTAACTAAAATAAATAAAAATGATAAATAAAATGAAAACATAACTAACTAAAACTGTATAATCTTTTGAACTTTTTAATGGACTGCTTTAACTCACAGGACCATCACAAGCTGGAGGACACATGGGCAAATATGTTTATTCAAACTATAAAAAACTAAAACTAGAACTAATAAAAACTAAACTAAACTAAAACTAAGCATTCAAAATGCAATAATAACTAATATAAACTAGCACATCCACTGTAAAAACTAATTTAAACTGAATGAAAAGAAAAAAGGTCACGATGAAATAAAAACTAAACTATAATGAAAACTCCTGAACTATGATAACTTTGGTCTGAACACAGTAAAGTGAGTTGTTGTCATCTTTAAACACCTTGTTTCTGCAGTAAATACTGTGATGTTACTGTTCAAAACAACATAAGGACCCCAACAGAGTACAGGGCCTGAAATTCACTTAAAATTGTGGGAAATCCCCCTTTACATGTTTCATAGCGGGGGGATTTATAGATTTTGGGGGGGTTATTACTTCTGAGTCTGACTACAGGTTTTATGTTGTGCAACAACGTATAATAAATATGTTGCTTTCATTTTCCTCCTCATGCCTTCCTGCTCTGTTAGCTGCTCTCTTCTGTCTGTTTGAAGACTCTTTCAGAACACAGAACCACTAACTGGATGAACAGCACATAACGTGTTGATGTTCCCCCAGCACATCAGAAGTCACCAACAGAGATATTCTCTTACCACGCTCACGTTTGCTTCCTGAAATTAAAAGAAATGTGGAAAAAACTCAGCTGTTCTGATTCAAGCTACTGAAGTCTGCAGCTGCAGAATAACTCTTGACTCTTGTTACTTATGTTGTAGATCAAAATACATCCAAGAGCATCTTTTTAGGGTTTTAAGTTTCAAAATAATCTGACTCTTATCAGTGTGCATTGCATGTGATTCATTTCCCATCCAAGTCATCTCAACTTTGCCATGCTTCTCCTCCTGCATACTTTGTCCTAGAGCTGCCATTGTAATTTATATCTGTAAAGCCCCTGTGCCAAATGATGGCTATGTCTTTTGGTGCCTGTAAAACTTATAGTTTTTGAAATATTAATGTTTAATTAATTATAATGGGAGGCAATGGGGCCTTGTAATGGTCCAATACTGCCCCAGCTGTAATCAACTTGGTACTGCACCATAGTTTTTTATATTTAATCTCAATAGCTCAGTGTTTACAATACTAATATGATTGTATTTTGATGTTTTACTATATCATTGTCTTAATACTGCTCTATTGTTGTAATATAATGCAGTTTAGTGTCAATAATTACATTGGCAATGTGGCCTCTTTCTGCACACATAGAAACCAACCCCTGGCACCACACCCTGACACAGCCCCAACATTCTAATGGTCTGTGTCATGGACTTTCATGTGGGAGATCAGGGTTCAAAACCCAGCTAACGCAACTTAAACAAAAAGTCTCTTCAAACTTCATATTGTCACACAATTGCCTTAATTACAAACACCTGCTGACGTGACAGGCACAAGCTGGTATAGAAACACATTTGAACTTGGTCAAAGTTCATTCTGCAAGTCCAATGCTGCAGGTAAATCCATGCTGCAATGACATGCAACATGGCAATGTACACTTGTTTTTACATTGTAAAAACCCATGTCTAGTTCTGATTGTATCTGCACTGCTGCGTACATTCAGTCAGTCTCTGAGCCAATAAAGTTTGTATTTATCTTCTCTTTTGTACGTATAAAGAGTAAAGAGCATGCATACCTCAAAAAGAATAAAATAAAAACACCCATCTGTAACATTTATTCAAAATACTCATAATTCTTTCATATTTCTAATCATACTAACTTTTGTAGAAACAAAATAACAGTTATGTAATATAAAAAACAAGCATAGAAAAACTTTCTTCTAATCACTGTGAAAATAATGTTTACCTACATTTAAATGAATCTAAAGGGCTAATGTTTCTGACTGTGTGTGTGTGTGTGTGTGTGTGTGTGTGTGTGTGTGGGACAGTGAGGAGACAGCAGAGCGCTGCGAGCAGGAGGAGGAAATTTGTTGTTTTTAGAAAGAGTTGCGGCTGGAGCAGCTTCTGTTGGCGTGTTTTGGGTGTGTTGTTAAAACACAGAAGTTATTTTTGGGAGCTACAGATAAGTTTGTCACTGTCTGCCTTGCTCCGAGGTACAGAGGTGGGGGAGTTTCAGCCCCCCTTCCTTCCCTCTCTCTGCCTCTGCGTGCGAACGGACCGAGGTGATCAGTTTTATACGGTCCGGGCTGTCATCTAAAAACAGTCCGATGCAAACATCCACATTATTACACATCACTGGAATTTATTGTTTGCAGGAATTTCCCGCTTTATAAAAACTAGATTTGTGGGAACTGATGTGCACAATACCTGCAATCCTGCAGCAACTTTCAGGCTCTGGAGTATAAAGATGTTTAGCTCTGTGGCAGCCATCTTAAATGACTTCAAACATTAATCAAATTCAGTTTAATTCAGTTTATTTCTATAGCTCTAAGTCACAACATACATTGTCACAGGGCACTGTACATAAAAAGAACAATGTAAAGAAGAAGAATCAATGATTACTTTCTGCCAGGTTCATTCAAATGTGTCCACTTGTTTGAGAGATTTTGCTAGCAGGGACAGTCAGTCCTGGTCCTGGAGGTCCACAGACCTGCATGGTTTACTTGTTTCTCTGCTCCAACACACCTGATATGAAGGAATGGAGGATTATCAGACTTCTGCAGAACATGAAGAGGTGATTCACTGACTGAATCAGGTGTGTTGGAGCAGGGAAAAAGTAAAACATGCAGGGCTGCGGACCTCAAGGATTGGAATTGACTATTCATACCCCCCTTCCACACACACACACACACACACACTTACTTGTATTTCTATCCTTATTAGGACCTTGTATTGACCACCACTCATTTCTGTAGATCCCACACGTCTGTGTCTAACTAAAAGAACAGTGACACCAGTAGAAACCCTGCAGACCTCCAGCTGAACAGCCCTGGTTTAGGGTTTCTTGTGTGTGTTGTTAAACTACACACAGACTTCAGGCTCACTCAGAAGACCCGTATCGTTTCTGAAACGTGTCCTGACCACCTCACTACGTTCAGAAGACACACGGAGGCAGAAGACCTGTGAGCTCTGTGTTCTACCTGCAGAGGAGGAGATAAATACTAGCTTTACCTGCAGAGGTACAGTATGCAGGTGTGTGTGTACAGAGTCAGCTTCTGTTTACACCAGGGGTGTCCAAACTACAGTTGGCCCACGGTACCGTTTTTATTGGCCTGCAGCAAATTCTGAAAATATAATTGAATATGGCCCGCACAAGAATTTTTATCTCAACTCTGTTGCAGTTCTCAGTTTCAACACTGGACGAGGAGAAGCAGCAGCAGCAGCAGCTGCGGCTCCATAAGCAGCTCCATAAGCTGTCGGACCTTTTTTTTTTGTCCGGACCAGCTGACCCACATCAACACTTATATATCCATCCAGAAAATCCAACTGCAGATGGTCGATTTCAGGTGAAGATCTCCTGTCCGTCTGTTTTGGTTTAATGGGCAACATTCAGGAAACTGTCTCGTGGAAAATGAGTCTCTGATTGGTTGATGTGACGCGTCCAGCAGCAAAAGTTCAGATTTTCCAACTCAGACACAAAAAGAATGATGATCCTGTTCAGCTCAACATACATGTGACCAAACATTTTCTCTGTTAAATCAGAACAAAAGCAGACTGAGAACCAGAATGACTGATAGCCATCTGTGACATGTCAGCCATCCTTCAATCCAAAGGACAGCTTCACTGAGTGCAACGTTCTTCACAGAGGTGAGTTACAAATACACACATTATTCATGTATGAATGTGTCTCATCATTACAGTAAAACTGATCCATTTATGTTTTCATTATACCAAAATGATAGTTAACCAACCCCTCACTTGACCTTAAAACCCCCTCGATACAACTTTACCCCCCCACCCCCCCGAACCCATGTGAAGACTAACCACAGTGACCTTATGTCCAATACTAAACAAACACTATTAGACCATTTGCACAGTTGGACTTCGAGTTCAGATCAACTCCCTGAAGGATGATTCAGAGAAAGTTTTTGAGTTTATTTTCTATAATTTGTATTTTCTGTTTAAGCCACAGGACATGCATGAAGATGCAGTAGACAGGCTTATCTTCCTCACCAAAAAATGTGCGGGGGAACAAAGACATCAAGAATGTACTTACTGACTTTGCTTGAATGTATGTTTTAAACAGGACTGTTAATTTTGTTTACACTAATTTTTAAACCAGCTTATTGTGTTTACTTGAAGCTGCAAATATTTTATTTGAATATTCATTGTTTAGAATGGCGGGACCTGCCATCTTGTTTTACAAGCATGATTTATAGGTTGTATTTAGCTGCACTTTGAATTAAGGTCAACTCCCAGAAGAGATGGTTCAAATAAGAGATTTTTTAAAAATATGTTCTGGAATTTGTGTTAAGAAAGCAAAGGAACGATGCAGATCAATTAAAATCGAAAATTGAATTTGGGATGAAAAAAAACTATATTTTTTAGGCCGTATGGCCCGGCCCTTTGTTTATTTTCTGTATTTGGCCCTGACTGAAACAGTTTGGACAGCCCTGGTTTACACTGACGACCCTAAAAAGACGTCCCTGCAGGTGATCTGATGAGTTCTCAGCAGCAGAGGTTATTTCCTGTTTCAAACTGATGAATGTTCTCTGACAGAGCACCTCCACCTGTGACTGGACCACCTGAGGACCAACAGCTCTCTACAGCCCTGGACACGTTTAATAAAAACAGACCGTCTTCATCTTGATGATGACATCATGTGGCACCCCTGATAAGGCTCTGACCCATGAGGCGGAGCCCCCAGAAGCTGGAGGCGGAGTTTTACTCACAGAGTAGGGTGATTCTGCTTCTTTGGGTGGACTTTCCATCTGGTTCTGGTTCCTGATGTGGGTCAGCTGACTGGGACCTCTGTTGTCGTAGTCGTCACTGTTTATGACATCAGACAGCAGGTCGGGGTCCATGCGCAGGGGGGTCTCTGGAAGCTTTCCTGGGGCTGCGATCTCTTCCTGGGTGGTCTCAGAGTGCTTCTCTGTGTGGGGGTACTGGCTGGTGGTCTGGGAGACCAGCTGTTCTTCATCTGAGTTCACAGAGGCAGAAGTAAGAGGAGAACGAACAGAGTGCAGCACAGAAACAACACAAGTCCTCCCAACCGGTTCTGGAGCTCGGTGGGTCCGTGACGACCACGTCCTGCTCTCTGGGAACCCTGAAGATCTCACTGTGGCCCATGGGGTAGATGTTGGTGAACTGGGCCAGTTTCTGAAAGTCTGGACTCATCAGGATCTTCACCTCACACATGTCAGGCTGCTGGACCTGAACAACAGAGGAGGGCTCTCTGAGGAACAGGTTCAGCTCCGTTTGTCTCTGCATCTCATTAACTTCTGCAAGTTAACCAGTTCAAGATGGCTGCCACCATTGATATATATTACTGGACTGGACATCACGTGACCTGGGCGTGGCTTCAAGAGGGATTTATGCATTGAGCTAATGCTAACGCTAACCACTGAAATCAATAAGCAGAACGTAGCGCGGTGCAAACACTTTATAAATTTACAAATGGTTCAAATACTTTGTTATAAACTACATAGATTGTTACAACATGTTTACAAGAGACAAAAGGGTTATGTTTCACAGGTAAATATTACACATATTTAACCTAAATTAATTATTTTAATGGTAAAACCTGTTTGTTAACATTAAACAGCTTCAATGTTCATGTTTAACCTTTTTTTTGATCAAGTTCTTTTTATTAAGTTTTTAACAAACCACAAAAAAGAACAGACTTACAAAAACACAAAACAAAACACACACACCCAAAATCCCTCCCATCCCTCCCCACCTATACCAGAGCTACTAACAAAACATAAATTCATCTTGTACTCATGTTTAACCTTTTTTAAATTGATTTTATCTGTTGTCAAATATATTGTTTACTGATATTAAACATGTAAATATGGACTTTATTGGATTGGTGANTCCACCATAGACTTTGAATGTAAACCTGCTGCTCCTGACGCTGAAATCGCGTTTGGTGTGAACGCACCATTAGAGTGTTAAAAGAAAATAAATTCCTGTATCCGCATCATGATCCAGAACATCACCAAAATTTAAAGGTGTGTTCCTTGGCACAGTACACACATGTGGTAAAAATGTCATGACAGTCTGTCCACAAGTTTGTGAGTAATGTTGTCCACAGACAGAACGACAGACGCAACCGAAAACATTACCTCACCCTTGGCAAAGGTAATAAAATGACACTCACGTTAAGTACAAATACTCAAAAACTGTACTTCAACATTTAAGATTTAATTTTTATGTTTTAGATTTATATATTTAGATTTGGGATTTATTATTTACACATTATTTGACATTTAAATGTAACATTAAAAATAAGCACAATGTAAGAACAGTGAGCTAAATAACATTTTTAACACTCAGAAAATGAACTAAATAAAGAAAATCTATTAGTGACATTTTAAAACATTTTATCACTTCACAGTTGGCGACACAACATTGGGCACTAAATGATGAGAACACAGTTCTGTCCAACTGTTCCAAATGTCTCCACATGTCCCAGTGATGGACTGGAGACATGTCCAGACCACCTCTGGCTCAGACTGCTGGACCTGAAACGAAGAAGTGGGTAAAGATGATGGTTAACAAAATATCTCACAAACCACTGAACAGATTTTACTGAAGACTCCAGTCGTCGGGCGTACATGAACAAATGATTAACATTTGGAGTTAACTAAATTAAAGATGGCTGCCACCTGATCAACACACAGATATAGAGTTGAGTCTTTTATAAATATGTAGCTAAAAGCTGCAGTGATGACCTGAAAGGCTGCAGGCCATCATGTAACGTGCTGTTGTTGCTTTTGTCCTGTTGTCCTCCTGTAACCTCTGCTTTACTCCAACAAGTCCAAATTAGTCATCACATGGGAAACAGGGGGCTGCCCTCACGCCCCCTCCCCCACCGCACAGATTTATGGAGCTAGCCTTGAACGCTGGCCTGGTGCTGGTGGAGCTGAGCCCACTCTGTTCAAGGAGAGAAACTGGTTCTGGTGGGATCTGCTTCTCATGTCCACCCCACAAACACAACAACATGACTTATGAGAGCAGTGATGCAGAAACATGGAGTCCTGCTACAAACACTCAGTCCTGTGAAGGACACCGCGAAGTTTACTCCACTCATTTATAACATCTGACTTTATTACCACACTGTAAATGTTGTTTACTTCGTTCTGTGCATTGATACATATTACTGGACTGGACGTCACGTGACCTGGGCGTGGCTTCAAGAGGGATTTATGCATTGAGCTAATGCTAACGCTAACCATTGAAATCAATGAGCAGAACGTAGCGCGGTTCAAACACTTTATAAATGTACAAATGGTTCAAATACTTTGTTATAAACTGCAGAAATGTTTACAACATGTTTACAAGAGATAAAAGGGTTATGTTTCACAGGTAAATATTACACATATTTAACCAAAATTAATTATTTTAATGGTAAAACCTGTATGTTAACATTAAACAGCTTCAATGTTCATGTTTAACCTTTTTTAAATTGATTTTATCTGTTGTCAAATATATTGTTTACTGATATTAAACATGTAAATATGGACTTTATTGGATTGGTGACCAGTTAGACTGCATATAAATTCAGACATTATCATGTAGACTCACTAATGACACTAATGTAATGATTGACCATCATAAACATAAACAGTCACATTGTCAGACAGGTCGGTTTATTCAGATATTTTCTACATCCAGTATTTGTGTTTTCCAACATTTCCAGAGAAAAAGGAGGAAAACGTGTACCAGCTGTGGGTCAGCTTCAGATACAGCCTGCATCATGTCAAACTGAAGAATAAATCTTTGTGATAAAAATAAATTCATTAAACAATTCTTTGTGACATGAAATTATTTGTATTTTTAGTTTGATTTTACTGATGTTAAAATTATTGTAGTTTACAGCAAAAACTTTTATAGTTGTGTATATATGTATACAAAACACACACACACACACACACACACACACTTGAAAGATTAATTTTATTATTTAAATGTCTAAGACTCAGTTGTGATTAATAAATATATGTATGAATATCCAGCTGTCAGAACTCATTGATCTGTATGAAAAAACACCTGTGAAATGAAAAATACTCAGTTTAAGCCCCTGTTTTAGTCATTTTAATTAATTATCTATTTTAAATTTCCATAACTATAAAATTCACAATTTCCTCGGCTTTATTTTGAACCATATATTATAAAAATTGAGCAAGAAATGAAGTTATAAGAGTTTTTCCTCAGGAAGACACCTCACAGTCCACTGACCTCCATTCATTGTGTTGAAGCTCCTCAGTGCAGAACAGAGCTCCAGTGTGGGCACGTTAATGTAGCTAGCAACACGCTAACCATGCCCAATCCAGTAATATATACAGTGGTTTGCAAAAGTATTCATACCCCTTGAACTTTTCCATATTTTGTCACATTACAACCACAAACATAAATATATTTCACTGGAATTTAANGTGTGTGTGTGTGTGTGTGTGTGTTTCTACACTAAGATTTGAATGACTTTATAAACTGACAAACACTGTTGATATAAAACCTGTAATTTAAAGCTGGTGGAGTGTGTTTTCCTGTGTGCACACAGTTCATCTCAGAGCTCTTCACACAGCGAGGTCAAGGCTCTTCAGGGTTGTAAGAAAACAAAATTCCTGCAGTGAACAAATATATATTAAAGAGAAAAAAACCAGAAAGATGTGATTCTATAAATAATGAGCTGTAAACAGATAAGGAGTTGATGTTCCTCACAGACAGACCTGGATTTATAACTAAAGTCTGTCAGACCAACAGTGAAGAATGAGACGTATCTGCTGAACTTACTGTTTGAACCTCACATTTATAAACTATTATTTCCTCTAATAAAACCACATCAGTTACTGTAAGCTGAAGTCTTCAGTTCATCCAAAGTTTTAATGCAGAGGAGTCCAAAGTGGGCCGTGTAAAGTTAAACATAAAAGGTGAGAAACTACACAAAACATTTAGATTAGAGCACACATGGATTTTCACAATTTATAAGAACACAAGTACTCAAATTTTAATTTATAAAAAGTCTCAAAAGCTTTTTCTGCTCAAGTGTCACATTTTCTGCACGTCCATTGGCTGACAAAAAACAAACAAAAAAGTGTCCTACCACACCTGGCTGCTAATTTTATCATTAAAAACAGCTTTACTTTAAAAGTATTTGTACTTCATGTACTAAATATTGTGTTTGGCTGCAGACCTCAGATTTCTCCAGTTTGAGCTTCTCTCCACCGGCTCCCTCACTCTTTTAATTCAATAATTGATTTACTTTAATGGACTTTTTGTTGTTTTTATGAATGAAATACATTTAAAAAACATAAATAAAAATAAATGTAGTTTCCAGATGTTCACAAACACATCTAAGAGCTTGAATACCTGAGAGTGATGGACCAATCATTGATCTGATCTTTTGACCAGGACTGAAACAGTCTCTGCTTCCTGGTCCAACAGGTCCTCACTGACTCCAGATGAAGACTAATCATGAAACTTTATCAGTTCATCCAGATCAACTGACTCAACTGATGTGTCTTCTCAATAACACTGAGTTAGGATCTGATAATAAATGTAATAAAATGTAAGTAGAATTAATTCAGTTTTATTTAAATAAAGGAATAAATGACTTTAGTCACTTAGGCATGAGGTAATTCTCACCGTTACATGTTGCAGCTATAAGACACAGCTAATGACTGGAGTTATATTTGTCCAAAAATCTTTGTTTTCTTTGTTTGAAGCTCAACAGTCAGAAATAAGCTCCTCCCACTCTGAGCCTTCCTGTTCTTTCCCAGCACACACCTGGGTGTTCAGTACTATCTCAGAAATACTACACAAAATTAGCCTTTTAGATTAAACATACACCAAATTAATACTACTACTACTACTACTACTACTACTACTAATAATAATAATAATAATAATAATAATAATAATAATAATAATGTGTGTGGTTCCTTTGAGCAGTTAAAACAACATATTCACATACAGAATAATAAGAGAGCAGCTAATGAACAGAAGAATATTATTATAATTTGTTCCCATGTGACTGGACTGGCTCTGTAAAATATCCTATTGATAAGGAGTAAAAATAAATGAACTATGATCTATACGATGGTTTGAAGTCTTTAAATTTCCTGTAATAAAACATACAAAGCTCCAAACAACCAGACTCCATCTTGAATTACATGATCTTATCCTGTGTTTTCCTTGGAGGTCGATAACAGTTTTTATTTATATAAATTTAAGAGAGGACAAATTTAAATAATCTGGTTAGTGACAATGCTTTTTAAAATAAGTCATATAAACTGTAAATTAAAAAGAACTAAAGTATCAGGATGACAAAAACAGAACAAATCTCCAGAAATTCTGTTCCTGCTTTGGGTGCCACCACAGGACTTTCAGTGCCCCTCCCCCAAATATTTCTGTAGACACCCCTGCTCTGTTCGTCCCATACAGACTGCATTTAGTGTGAGGAAGACCACCAGTCATCCTGAGCCCGGTTCTCTTTCTGTGAAGAAGACCACCAGTCATCCTGAGACCAGTTCTCTTTCTGTGAGGAAGACCACCAGTCATCCTGAGACCAGTTCTCTTTCTGTGAGGAAGACCACCAGTCA